TTTTTCGCATTGCATTGCTGTAAAAAACGCATAAAAACAGCATTGTAATGGAGTTGTGATGTCTAAAATTGAAAGAAAAGAACTAAAGCAAAAATTGAGTAAAATCGAATATACAGTAGAATGTTTCGGTTCATCAAGTCGTATACATTCCCTCATAGTACCACAGCTGGGCTTCGTCAGTACGGCAGTGGTTGTGAGCATATTTTGTTGCAGTATTGGTAAGCTGTGAAATTCATAGGAAGCGTGTGGCAGTGATTGGCGAAGGAGCACTGGGCGCTTCCTCAGCACTGGCTCTCATTGAACGTGATCCCACACTCAATATAACAGTCTTCTACGATGTTCCATTCAGGAGGACAGTTAGCTGGGGTCCTGCTGGTCTATTTCGTGTCGACACCATTCAAAACAGGTTGCATTCCTATTTTTGTCCTCCAGCTTGAGGATTTTCCATTGCCCTTTCGATTCTGCGTTGATTCAGTAATTAGTTAAATAGTAAGCAGTTGCTTCCCTTGTTGACCTTCCATACATTCTAAATACAGTTTCGTATAAAACCAGCAAAAGTCCAAGAATACTGTAATTCTTTTTTTTAAACTGTGTTGAAATAAAATATAGTTGGCACATGTAGGTAAATTAAGAGGGTAAAAAGCTAGGGTTGCAAGCATTTTGCCAGTTTTTTCTTGTTGATACGAGGATGAGGTTGTGTTAAGCCTAGGATTAAGTGTATCAGTATTTTCTTTTTCTTGGAAAGTTAGTCACTCTATATATTCTTCTGTAGGAACTGAGCTGCTTTTTTAAAGGGGCAGACTATTGAAGCACGGAGTAAAGACAGTCGGAGAGCAGAACAAAGAAACTCAAATTTTAACTTCAGGTAAATGGGACTGAATTAGTGTACATGCCCAACATTTGCATTTGACGTATGATTGCTCTTCATGACATAACTGCATGTCGATTCCCTGGTGCACATGCTTTTTTTAGACCTTACGGGAAGCGATCATTTCCTCGATATGCAAAATTATTTCGAGAACTGGGAGGTGAGCAGTGTGGTGTTAATTTATTGTCGGGTCACATACTTTCGACAAATCTCACTGAACTTGTTGAACAGGTTACCAATTTAGTGATTAACTTTATGGGTATCCATCATTTTTCCCCACAATTTCTGAAATTGAAGAAAGCTGGAGGCGTTATTTTTAGTTAGAGAGTCTAGATCAGCTCCACTGTGCTAGAATACAATAGGAAAGCAAAAATTTGCTACCTACGCATTCTTTGAATGATTGCAGGAGAAAATTTACGGCGATTTTGTGTATAATTTTCGGTATCTTCGTGAGGATGAGATGCAACAGTTCGCTGATCAAGGAGAAGACAAACGTGTTTATGCGATACACTATACCGCATATACGACAGAAGGTGGTAAATATGTGCCCTGGATGAAAAGGCAATTGCTGAACAAAGGAGTACGATTTGTGCAGCGTCAAATTAATACAGTCAGAGATGTAGGTTTTCGAAACAGCGAAATTCCTCCAGTTATTTTCTGATTCAGTACAAGAAAATGCATTTTATTTTCAGCTCTTTCCTGATTTCGATGTAATTGTGAATTGCGCGGGATTGAACGGCGGAAAAGTAGCTGGTGATGGTGACGACAAGAATATGTTTCCTATACGGGGGATTATTTTCGAAGTTTGTATTTTCGGCATTTTCTATTCCTGCTTGCATCTTTGCGGCCCTTCTCGTCTGGATGCAAATTACAATCTGCCTGGCTCGGTTTCAAACACGCCTCATTTATGTAACTGCGCACTAGGTGGGCCCATGTGATTATGCGTTTTTGCTGTATTTCGTGCTGCAATAAAACTGCTTGGAATCCCAGTAGCCAGAATTTGTGGCATGCGGGTCCTTGAAGCTCAGAAAATTAATTCTGCAACTAAGTGGTATTTGGACAGAGAAAATCCCGTTAAAGTTTCAGCTTTCCAGCTCGAGTTGACAATTTTCTCGTCGAAAATTTTTACGGTCCCATACCTCAGAAACACACACACACACTTGAGGGCTGAATTTGAAACCTCTCAGTTGTAAATAGGCTGGGAACGTCTGCTTAAAATTTCAGCCCTTCAGCGTTCTTGGTTCCCAAGTTAGCAATTTTTTTGCCGGAAACTTTCACAGGGATGTTCATGAGAGCCACGCGCACTTGAAAGCTGGATTTGAAATCCTTAAGTTGCATATGGGCTAGGAATATCTCCTTCAAATTTCATCCTCCCAACTTTTCGGGTTCTTGAAACAGCAATTTTTCCACTAAAACTTCCACGTGCTTGTAACCAGGGCCAGACATACGTGAAGGATGGTACAGTTGTCCTGGGTGGCATTTGATAGGGGAACCCACTGGCAAAATTTCAGCGCTGGAGCTTGCTTGGTTGCCTAGTTGAAATACCCGAATACACACATACATATAAAAGTACACACACACCGTAGGTCGCCACAATGTGCGTTTTTGCACTGGCATATATGCAAAAACGCATGGTAAAAATGGACGGTATCTCTAAGTTTTGCTTTTCATCGCACACTTACTAGCCAATTCCTTGCTCCCCGCAGCCGTTTTCTCTCACATTTATGTCGCAGATGACTTTTTTATCCTACCTCTTTTCTCATCTGCGCCATTTTCGTTGTAACATGGTGGTTAGGGGGCTGTACTGATGGTTCTCGCCCCTAACCACGTCTCTCGCTGTCTGTGTTTACAGCTTAGGAATGAAACACAGGCATGCTTCCTTTTACATACACCTCTCTACATGACTTTTTCACATGACACACTGTTTCTGTAAATATGCAACACTACAATCTTCTTGACCTTATTTTATTTTCCTTTCCCTTCTTTACGAACTTACTAGTTACCGGATTTCGGATGACCCCCGTCCTGTGGACGGGCTATTCATAGTCATCTTGTATGGCAGGTGCGACCCTTGCCGGTCTTTACCCTTCACTAAATGGGCCGTTGTTCCTGCCCCTCAGTTACTAGCCTTTTCCTTTCGCCTACAGGGCCTTTATGACCCATACTGCCTTCTACGTTTTTAAGTGATGGCAGCGATGCACTGTTGTCTTTATCAAGGTTTTTTTTTGCTTGGCGGTGTTAAGAACAACAATTTCTTCGATTGAAATCTGTCCTCATATTGCCTTTTATGCGGTAGCCATCCACCAAAAGGTTGTAAAGCAAACGTTCTGCACAGTCTGCAAAATTTGCCATACAAACATGCGTGGTTTAATTTTGCTGATTTTTTTTAAGGTTGGCCTGTTATGTTTGCAAGACTTCTTGGTATAAGCACCTGAGAGGAGTTCTTGGTGATAGAACTTGCTTTTAGCGATAATTATAGCATTTTCAGGTCAACGCAACATGGCATAACCACTTCTTATATAAAGGATTCGAAACTTTTACAATACCTACGTAGGTTCCCACTCATCATTTTTATTACATGTATACCCACGTTCATTTCAAACTTGCTTTTGCAGTTTCTGATGACTCCATGTTTTTAGCACAGACAAGGTGTTCATAGGATCAGTGAAACAGGCAGGCCGCTACGATCTTGCAATCAAACCCAGTGATCGGGCAGATATCCTGGGTCGCTATTATCGGCTTCAGCCAGCCATCCGTGTATGTTTTATATGAAAATCAAATGTTATACTTGCATAC